GCCATGTTGCTGCTCTTTAGGGGAAACATATTGAGACTGGTTGAGGGCAGCTGTGGACAAGTTCAATTGGAGAGAGAAGTGACATATAGCATGAGATTTGTTCACTCAAGTTGGGAAGCTGGTCCAGGGAAGTGCGCAACTATAACTGATGCTTATATAGAGTTTACTCTGTACCGGGAACTGCTCTGAGTATTTTATATGTAATTTTAAAAATTCTTATTAGAACTCTATGAGGTATGTATTTTTATTATTCCCATTTTATAGTTGAATAAAGTAAGGTCCCCGAAGGTAAACTGCCTAAGGAGATTATACAAGAGCATAAATGTTAGGAGAGAGCAACCATCAGAAGCTATTTTAGAGGGTGCCTTACTATAGTCACACAGAGAGAAACCTAACTCCAATAACCATGCCTTTAATTGTAAAATAATATACAATTATTTGACATTTTTTTTTTTTTTTTTTTTTTTTTTTTTTTTTGGTTTTATTTTTTTTTTTTTTTTTTTTTTTGGCCAGGTGTGGTGGCACACTCCTGTGATTCCAGCACTCAGGTAGCTGAGGCAGGAGGATTGCCACAAGTTTGAGGCCAGCCTGGGTGACATAATGATTTTAAGGTCTGCCTGAACTATGTGGGGAGACCCTGTCTCAAAAAAACTAAAACTAAAAAAAAAATAAATAAATAAAAGGAACTCTTTTATTTAACAAACAGAATGTCTACACTGTGCATAGCCTTGTACCATCCACTAGGACCACAGAGATAAAACTGATTTCATGTCTGAGCTCATTTATGATTATGTATCAGGATTTCCAATTAACTGAGCATCAATTGGGTTATAAGACTCTCCTGTCAAAGAGCTAGAGCACAGGGCCAGGCTCCAGGCAGACAGGGCTCTAGACATTCTTAGAGTAATAGGATTAACTTGGGGGAGTGAGAAGAATTGAGACTGGGTGACAGTCCAGGAGCTCAGACAAGCTTGGACCTCTAAAGCAGAAGAGGTGACTTAATTCTAAATCCTACAAGATAGGATGTAGACCCTGAGCCTACAGATCAGTTGAAGTCTGTGGAGTTAGTTTGAGGAGCTCAGGAAGCACAGGCAGGGGCGTGAGAGAAGTGGATCAAATGCTACTACAGTTTCTTAGGTACACATAACAGCCGAGCTTTTGTATAAATGTAGTATGCAATAAATATTTCTGTCAATAATGCCTAAGAGTTCCAGTGTTAGATGTTCACTCATCCATCCATCCATATGTCCTTCCATCCATTAATTCATGAATTGGAGAACACTGTACTGTATTTGTCAGAACTGTTAGGGAGAAGTGCTATAGTGCTGTATGTGGTCAGAGGAATATTCTGGTAAGTTGATTGAGATAAAGAATAAGAAGCTCAAAGACTGCTTAATTAATAGGGGATGGCAATTCCTATGTTCTTCAAGAAGGGTGAGTTGTGTTACGTGTAGCTTTTATTTTGCTGGATCAGTTTTTACAGCTCTGAGTCAGAGCTGAATTGCTAAGAACATGGAGAAACTGAGCCTTGACAGAAACGTAACTATTACCCATCATTTTTCACCTCTTTGCATACCACATGTCATCATGTCTTATAATTTCACTTGAATCTGTTTCTATTCCATCTCTATTGCTATCACTATCATTCAAATCCTTACTGGATCTTACTTGAACCATTGCAAAGATCTTCTGTCCAGCCTTCCTGATTCCTGTGTGTTCTCCTTTCACTCCACTCTCCACACCACTGCTAAAGTGATCTTTCTAAAGCTCATATCTACATTAATCCTCTGCTTGGACCCTAACTCAGTAATGACAAACCTTTGAGAGCATTCAGTGATACAAACTGTTCTAGGTTCACCACCACTGCCCTAAGTGGTGAAGTCCATAACCTGTGGCAAAACATTTAAAGTTCTTCATAACTTTATCACTTACAGATTTCTCACTGGTCTTAAATTTCTTTTTGCATTACCTAGCAGCAAAAGTTATTCCTAGAATGTCCATTTTGTATCTGTGTATTCACTTAGGATAAATATATAGTTACATTCTCTTAATGAATAGAGGGATTTGTTCTAATGGTGTTTGTAAATAGGATATCATGTCTGCATCTTGTACAGCAAATAACCACTAGGAAGAATGTATGCAATGTGTTAATTATTGAAACTGTCCTACCAATTTGGTTTGAAACTCTCTCATTGCTATTTGTTTCTCAATAAAATTATGGAAAAAAAGTTATTCCTATTGCCAAAATATATTTCCTTTGTGTCTGCTTGGAAAACTCTTCTTTGTAAAGGTATCCTTGTTTTCTTTGTATTGCCAAATAAGCAAATCTTCAGGTGATGCTCCTAAACTCCTTATAGATTTCACTTGTACAGTGTACCATGTCTTTCCAGTTATCTTCCTGGGCATATTATTGGATTTTACTTTGCTTATTTTTATTTATTTGGTACAGGGTCTCACTGTACAGCTTGGACCTGTAGTGATCCTCCTGTTTTAGCCTCCCCAGCACTGGGATTACTGGTGTGTACCACCAGACCTGGTTTCTGTGGCTGGTTCTTCATGGGGCCAGCATGGCATGTGGTACCAGGGATCGAACCCGGATCCTTGCACTTTCCAGGCAGGTGCTTAGACTGCTGAGCTATATCCCAGCCCCTTGGATTTTACTTTCTTATCCTTCAGAAGTTGGGTGTGGATATTTGCCTTGCTTTGGCCAGTGAAATGGGAAAAATGGAAGTTTAAACAAGCCGACACACAATTCACATGCAGTCTTTCTCTCTGTTAGTTTCTCTATCTGCCTTTATTTTAGAATAAGTAAGATACAAAGCAGAACATCCAGCTAATACTAATGGGTATGTATCAGTAATGAAAAATAAAACCTTTTGTTCAAGCTGCTGGTATTTTGGGATTACTTGTTGTTGAAGTGCCCAGCTTGTCCTAATAAATATACAACTTCTGCTTTGACATCTTCCGTAACTTCCCAAACCACTGTGTTTCTACTTTATCTGAGCCTGTGAAGCACATTTTCTCTGTACTCTTTTCTGGTTCTGATGATGCACTGATATGTCATAGTCACCTCCACAACTATGCTGAGGCTTCCTAGGAGCAGGGCTGGTGTTTGTTCCATTCTTTTATCACACAAAGCAAGGGTCATGGCCAAGGTATTGTGTTATTCACATGATTTGAACCCCAGTCCTGGTACTTATTGAATAATCTCTCTGAACTTCAGTTTCCTTGTCTGTCAAGTGAGAGTAATGCCACATATTTTACGGGGTTTTTCTTAAGTTTCTGGGTAACTGGTACAACATATGTACCAATAATAGCATTCTGTAATTATTGTTATTCTCATTTCTTTTTATCATTATAGGTGGTATTCAATAAATGCTTGTGGATATCATTCTTTCATTGATTGAGGCATTGTGGTGGTATATGCATTGAGCTTGGAATTAGAAGTCCTGAAGTCAAAACCTCAGTTTTGTCACCATATTTGTGACATCAAGAAAGTCACTTACCCCCTTTATGTTTTGCATTCCTAATTTTATAATATAAATATGAATGACATCTACTCACAGAGATTTTATAAATTTTTTCTTTGTTTTTGCAGTCCTGGGGATCAAACCCAAGGCCTTGCACATGGGAGGCAAGCACTGTACCGCTGAGCCCTATTTTATTTGCGCCTTTGTAAAATTTAAATGAGATAAAATGAGAGGAAATGCTTGATGCATGCTCAAGAATTACACATTTTAAAACCTTAATGACACAGAGGAAATTGTCTGGTCCCTTATGCAAAGGCAGTGTGAAGCATCCCAGTGTTTTCCAGTAACACTTAGCTGTTGGTTTTACCTTTGCTCGCTTATGTGTTGGTCTTTTCAGGTAGACTATGAGATGCTTAAGATCAAGTATTACCTTAGACATTTAGGGACAAGAAAAATGTTTATTTCTGTTTACATAAGAGTGATATATGCTCATTGTAGAAAAAGTAAAATTACATGAAGTAAACAAAAATTACAGTAATTCTTTTCTCCCATTCCGATAATCTGTATTAATCATTAGAGCTAGGTTTTTAAAATAGTTTTATTCTTGGTATATATATTTATGGTACCAATACTGTATAACACACACAAACACTGTCCCATGTCATTAAATATTCATCTATATGTTAATTTACATAAAATTATTATATTTTAACCATTTTTCTATTATTCATATATAAGTCGACAATATATTTTCAGTGTCAAAATAAAACTATAAGAAAACACTTGTGCATAAATATTTCTCTTATTTCCTACTTTTGTAGGAAAAATTTTTAGAAGGAATATTTTTGGGTTCAAGGATATGAACATTTTTAATGGTATTGAGACTTCCAGTATCATTTCAGGAAATCAGACCAAGTTCCACTCTCATAAACATGATGTGAGATTGTACATCTCATTGTATCATCTGTAATAAGAATTATTTAAAATAATGCTCTAAAATAAACTAATTATCCTCTTAATTTCTTCTGTGACTTGTTCTTACTTCTTGCCCATTTTTGTTAGGATTTTGATTACTTTCTTACTAATTTCTACAAGGTTTTAAAAATAATTTTGTTCTAGTCACACGCACAGTACATGGCACACAATAGGTGCTATTTAAATATGCCTTGGAAAAAAAATAAATAAATATGCCTTGGAAGGGCTGCCAGATAGCTCAGTGGATTAAAGCACCCGCTTAGACAGTTGTAGGGATCAGAGGTTTGATCTCCAGCCTGCCTCCCCTAGGGTGTGCTGAGATAGCTACTGAGACTGGGTGTGGTGGCACATGCCTGTAATACCAGCTCTTGGGAAGCTGCAAACAGGAGAATAACTACAAGTCTGATCTGCATAGTGAGACCGAGTAGTCCCTGCACTAAATACAAATAAATAAATAAATAAATAAGCCTTGCAGCATTAGTTTTTTGACTTGGGGACTTTTTAGGAACCAAAGCAGATTTTTCCAAGAAGCTGACTTTTTCTTTTCCTACCTAGGACACAGCTGGACAGGAGCGGTACCGGACCATTACTACAGCCTATTACCGCGGAGCCATGGGCTTCATTCTGATGTATGACATCACCAATGAGGAGTCCTTCAATGCTGTCCAGGACTGGTACAAGACTCATTCACTCATTAACTCATTCAGCAAACTGCTCATGAAAACCTAACATGTGCTAGGCCCTATTCTCTGTGTTAGGGAAACATGGCTTCTGCTGTCAAGAAATGCTCAGGTGAGAGAAGTCAGGTCAGTACACAGGCAGTGAAAATATGTGACAGGTACAGCGAGGAAGAGAGGCATCAGGGCTGCAGGAACCCAATTCAGGGGTATACGTACCTTGTTTTGTGAAATAAAGTTGTTCAGAGGGTAAGAATTTCCAGAAGAACACAAATGGGAAATGACAAGAAACTAGGTAAGAGGATAAGAAGGGCAGGTTATGACAGTTTCTGTGGTGGGGTAAGAAGTTTTTGTTTGATCTTATATTGATGACATTTGAGTTAAAATTTAAGAATTTCAGATTTATTTAAGAAGATTAAAAGAAACGAAAAGAAAAAAAGGGGGCTGGGGAGATGGCTCAATGGAATAAGCGCTTCCCTGGCAAGCGCAAGGGCCTGAGTTCAACCCCTGGTTCCACAAAAAAAAAAAAAAAAGAAAAAAAAAAAAAAAAGATTACTCTGGCTATAGGGGAGAGAGAATCTAAGCAGCATTTTGTTTGTTTTATCTATGAAATGGTGCAATTATAATTAAAAACTGACAAGGTCACAATAAACTTAATTGAGCAAATGCATACATTTGCTGCACTACTGAATGCTAATGTTTATTTAAATGTTAGTTTACACTTAAAACACAAGAGGAAATAGGAGTCATCCCTGTTAAGGCCCAATTTTTTTTTTCTGGTACTGGGCTTGAACTTGGAATATTGAGCATTGAGCTCAGGTGCTTATGCCACTGAGCTATCTCCCTAGCCCCTCCAGGTCCCAATTTTTATCTGGATATAAGTGGCACTTTTCTGTTGCTGGGGTAAATATGAGACCCAAGAGCACATGGGTCTAAATTTGTAAATTCAATTTGAGCTTAGTGTAATGGCGCATGTCTGTAATTCCAGCTATTTGGTAGGCAAAGGCAGGAAGATTACAGGTTTGAGGTCAGCCTGCACAATTTAGTGAGACCTTGTTTTAGAATAAAAAAATTGAAAAGGACTTTGGATGGAAATCAGTGCTGCCTAGGCTCAATTCCCAGTACAGAAAAGAAAAGAAAGGAAAGAGGGCTGGCCATATAGCTCAGTGGACTAAAGTGCCTGCTTAGGCAAAGTGCAGTGACCTGGGTACAATCTCTGGTGTGCCATGATGGCCCGCCTCCCTGGGATGTGCTGAGCCAGCGATTGAGACTGGGCGTGGTGGACTGAGACTGGGCGTGGTGGTGCATGCCTGTAATCCCAGTACTTGGGAGACTGAAAACAGGAGGATCACTAGAGTCTGATGTACCTAGTGAGACCTGTAGATCCTGCACTAAATCCATAAAAAAAAGAAAAAGATTCAATGTGCAGTAGAAATCAGTACAGTACTTAGAAGTATAACCTCTGAACAACTTATACATTCCTTCATGGGACATTAGGCGCAGGGAGAAGGAAGTGAGAGAAGAATATGTGTGAAAGAAGGAATAATACTCCATGCTCCCAGTCAAAAGAAGATGGCAGAAGGCAGGGCATCTGTCACTGCTGCTCTTCAAAGTCAAAGGATCTGGGGCCGGGGAGATGGCTCAGTGGTATAAGCACTTCCCTGGCAAGTGCAAGGACCTGAGTTCAATCCCTGGTTCCGAAAAAAACAAAGTCAAAGGATCTGAGTGAGCCAGCCAGGGACCTAGCAGTAAAGCTGGCTGGCACAAAGGTTGTCTCTAGTTACATTGTATCTATAACTACTTTGTTAGTCAGTTTTCTGTTACTATAGCAAAAACACCTGAGGCTGAATATAGAGAACAGAGATTCTTTAACTCACAGTTTTAGAGGCTGGAAGTCCAAACAGAATGGCAATGGTTCTGGCAAAGGCATACCTGTCACAACATATCATGGCAGATGGCATTATGGAGGGAACATGTACAAGAGGGGCAGGGCACATGGCCAGACAGGAAGCCAGAGGGAGATGGGGAGGGGCCAATATTGCTCATTTATAACAACCTTAAGTTACAAGAACCAACCAGGGTCCCTTGAGAATTACATTAATTCCTTTGGAGAGTAACACCCTCAATGGAATAATTACTTCCTACTAGGCTTTAGCTCTTAAAACCCTCACCAACTCTTAACTTTACCACACTGGAAACCAAGCTTCCAATGCTCGAGCTCTCTGAGAACAAATCACACGTAGATCCCCAACTATTCTTTGGGGATTCCCTCCTCCCAAAGAGCAGTTATTCTGGCTGTGTGAAGCACTGTTGGCCACTTGGGCCCTTGAGCTCAGAGTGATCTTGTAGACTGCCTGCTACATTTTGCTGTTCTGACAAACAGGCCAGGGGCCATGCCATCCACGGGAGCCTGTGTTCTCTTTCTCCCTCTCATCCATTTGCTTCTTCCTTCTCTTTTATTTTTAAGAAAGTCTTCCCCTTACTGTCTTTTTTCTGTTTTTCCTCTTCCCCTTCCTTTTACTTTCTAATCATGATTTTTCTTTCCTCCTCCCCATGCTTCCTCTCCATATCCCCCCACACCTACCATAGAGTGATGAGCTCTTTCTTTAAATGTTGCCACACTGTTCATTCCCTGTTTGCCTTGACAAGCCACCCCCCCCCTTTTTTTTTTAATCAGTCTCTATTCATTTAGCCTAGGAACACAGTGTCTTTTACACCTGCTGACAATTTCTCCCAGAATAACCTGAGTGTTGCTAATCTGAGAGTTGAGAGAAAGGGGTGGGAGGAGGGAGGAAGATGAGAACTTCAAAGAGTAACACGGAGCAATACATAGTTGGCCCCTGGTACTGGCCTTGAATCTGATGACTGTTTGCTTCTCCTGAGCCCTAGCCTTTGAGTTTTGCCTCTGGGCAATGTTCTCACCTTGGTATCCACCTACCATTTAAATCCTGGGCCCCAGAATGGGCTTGCTTTTTGTAGGACCACTACAAATGCTGGTTGAGTGAATTTCATCCTTTAAGGGAATGACTTGTCACCATAGAAGGGAATGTCAATGATGGAATTGATCAGGAGCAGGTTCAGTAACAGGAGCAGGATGTATAGCCATGGTTCAGTTAGACTATGAGTGCCAGTGTCAGGGTAGAGTAAAATCTAGATGTACTTTAGGATTAAACATTCACTGACTCTTTCATTCACCAAACATTCTCTGATGCTGTCTCTGCTGTATGTTCTATGCTGGATGCAGGCATGAACCTGTCCTCAGAGATAGACAGTTACATTTCACCAAGTTCAAAGAGGTACCCTAGGGCCGGGGAGATGGCTCAGTGGAATAAGTGCTTCCCTGGCAAGCGCAAGGGCCTGAGTTCAATCCCCAGTTCCACAAAAAAAAAAGAAAAAAAAAAAAAAAAAAAAAGAAAACAAAGAAGTACCCTGATAGAGGTGCAGGAGACCAAAAGGGGAAGTGGTCATTTCATCCAAAGGGATAGTTGGGGACAGTTAGGCCCATTTCCCCAAAACATCTCTATAATATTAAGGTTCTATTTTATTCCCTCTGGCAAAATTTTGTTTCTAATTATAGAAGCTATTCATTTTCAAAATCTGTAAAGTATAAATATTTGAAAAGTAGTTTTTGGAAAGTCTTATAATCAGCCAGGTGTAGTGCCTGAGGTTGGAGGATCACAAGTTCGAGCCCTATCTGGGAAATTTAGTGACTTAGCACGACTGTTTCAAACTAAAAAATAAACAGCTGGGGATATAGTTAAGTTCAGAGGCTATGTGTGCACACCCCCATCCCTCTCACAGTCATCCTATATGAAGGAAATTGATGAATCCTATATGAATACTGATGTTTTAGTTTCTAAGGACTCCATGAAGGCACATGAACCACCGAGGAGAGGGTAGAGCCAGCTGAGTGTAGGGAAACTTGAGAAAACTACCTTCAAGGCATTGTGGGATCAACACTGAGTCTTGGAGGAAGAGCTAGACCTGGAAAAAGGATTCCCAGTATGGGCAAAAGGCACAGGCACAAAAGAACATTTAGTGAGTGAGTGAGAACTGTGAAGCAGGATGAAGACCAGTGAGGCTGGAGATACATGGTGTGAATGATCTTGAACTTAAGAATCTAGATTTTATTACATAACTAACTGGGGGCCAAAGAAAGTTTTTAAGACAGGGCACAGTGTAGTCAGATATACATTTTAGAAAGAGCTCTCTGTACAGTGAGGATATTAGAGGACTACAAAGAGTAGGTAGGTTCACAACAAAGGTTCAGGTTTGGACATCTGTGACAGCTGGCAGGTACAGGTGTGTGTGTGTATCCTCCATTGAATTAACTGGCAGTAACTTGGGTGTCGCTAGCCTTATGGAAGGGAAACTGCTTCTTTGATGCTCCAATCACTTTCTCTTCTTTTAAGGATGCTAGTTCCATTTATCGGAGCTCTACCTTCATGATAGAGCTTCATAATAATCTCCCAAAGGTTCCACCTTCAAATACAGTCGCATTGGGAGTTAGGGCTGAACATGCGAGGGGTGGGGACAAAGACCTTCAGTTCATAACAACATAGTCAACATACTTCTCTGTCTCTTTTTAGGGCTACTCAGATCAAGACCTACTCCTGGGACAACGCCCAGGTGATTCTCGTGGGAAATAAGTGTGACATGGAGGAAGAAAGGGTTGTTCCCACTGAGAAGGGCCGGCTTCTTGCAGAACAGCTTGGTATGTGCAGGACAGTGTGTACGCATGTATGCATGTGTGCCTAGAAATGGGACAGTTAAAGGGGACAAGTGTGTGTTTGTATTTGTAACTTTAGGGTATTGTGAATTATGTACATATGTGCTCTAAGTGTATTTTATATTTGTATAATGTCCATGTAGATTTACCCTCATGAATTTTAAGTAACTCATCACTTATGATATGTATATATCTTGATATATTGAATACATGAGTAAATTTCTAAACTTTTTAGCAGCTCCTTCCACAAAGGGTTTGAGATAGTTTACTAGAAATACCATAGTACAGTGGGGAGGGAGAAATAGAGAATTTTAGCAAGAGAAAGCAAAGATAAAAAGAAAATAATAGAAAACCAGATGAGATAAGAATAGACATCTTACATTCTTAGGGCCCTGTGAAAGTCGGGCCAAAACTTTGAGCTGCCTACCTACCATTTCAAAGAGTAAAAAGTAATCTGTTACATGGTTCAGTGTGTCCTTACTATAAAAAGAAACCTATTACTCCAGAGAGGCATCACTCTTCATTGGCAACTATGGAGTAGAAATCTGTATGCTGAGTGTGACCCTATATTTAATATCAAATATTCTTCTAACAACTAATGCCCTGAATAGCATATAGGCTATTTCTTACCATTCCTCTTACCACCCAAACGGATGGTTCTTACCAAAACGTAGTTCATATGAAAAGTAAAGTGTAAAGGCATAAAACCACGTGGTTCAAGTATTGGCTCAGTGATGCTCTGGCTTGTCCAAAGTTGTGTTGTGATACTTGAGTTCTTCTGGGGCCCAGGTACCCAGACACATTTCAATGGTCTTGTAGAAGAACCCATACTTAAACTTTACTTAAAAGAACAGTCTATTATTGTCGCGCGCAGCCTTGCCAGCAAGGAAGACACGACCACTGGTTGTGTCTGCGCAGCCTTTATTGCTCTCTTACATTTCCCTTCTCTCTCCCGAGACCCCTGCTCTTAGCTTATAAGTCTTAGGGCTTCCAATCATGGGGTGCCACGTATGTACTGTCCATTGGTCCAGGTATGCGGAAACAATGCATTAGCCCAAGCCTTGGCCTTATATGGAGTTGTTTATTACTAGGAGCGCTCACCCCTGAGGGGGTGGAAGGCAGAAACCGGCGCCATCTTAGGGCGCGGTTATACGCAGCTCCCTACATATTATATACTGAGATTCAATGTAAGATTGCCCTAGAGAAAGAATTCCATACCTATAGAAAGTTTGATATCTTCCTCTAGAACAATAGAGGGACTGCTTGGTTTTTAAATCAGTCTCCCTATGTATTTGTCATACCATAAGTAACCAATGAGGAATAACCATTTAAAGTTACATTCTCTGAAGGCGGCGGTAGTAGCTGCAGCACTTCTGGCGAACAGAGGCAGGGCCCAGGCATGGTGGTACATTCTACACTGTGACAGCGCAGCGGCCCCTGGGTCGCCATGCGTCGGCGACCCTGACATGGGCGCCAGCGGCTCCAAAGCTCGAGGCCTTTGGCCTTTCGCCTCGGCGGCGGGGGGCGGCGTTCCGGAGACCGCGGGCGCTGAACAAGCTTTGGTGAGGCCTCGAGGCCGAGGGGTGCCCCCCTTCGTGTTCACGCGCCGCGGCTCCATGTTCTATGATGAGGATGGGGATCTGGCTCACGAATTCTATGAGGAGACAATCGTCACCAAGAATGGACAGAAGCGGGCCAAGCTGAGGCGGGTGTATAAGAATCTCATTCCTCAGGGCATTGTGAAGCTGGATCCGCCCCGCATTCATGTGGATTTCCCTGTGATCCTCTATGAGGTGTGAGCCTGGTGGGTTACAGACACAAGCACCTTTGACCCAGTGAGAAACTTACAGGCTCAAGGTGTGGCTTCCATTGAGGAGCCCAGGCTGAGGCTACAACCCTGAATAAACCGTTGGCCCAGAACCTACAGCTGTGAGCAGGGCAGTCCCTCAGTATAAATTGGATATTGGTTTGTGTGTGGACAAGAGATGGTTGGTGGCTGGCAGAGGCATGGCAGAGTTACCAGCACAGCTTCCCCAGCCACCCCTGCAAGAAGTGTGGCAGGGCATATGCCAGTCAGGAATCTGTGGTTCTTGGTTCCCTGCCTGGCCTGCTTTCTTCCAAGCTTGCCTAGGGCTCAGCCCTACTAGAAGCTACAGCACTTTACAAGCTAAGTCTGCCTTCTTCCAGCCCCTAGGCTTTGGGAGCTCTACAGAAGCAGGAACCTCCTTTCCCTCACTTCCTTTATCTCCCAGTCAGAGCATTTCAGCCGTTTGCTACCTCGATTCCTCCTGTATTAGACAGAGGCTGGGGATAGCACCAGCCTGATTCTTCCCACCTACCTGGCATTTGTTCCTATTTTCAGATGGACAGCTTGCTGGCTGTTGATAAGAATGGGGACTGGTATGGGTAGCTTCTCCCTTTCCCAGGGCTTGGCTAATTTCTCCTCAGTGCAACTAGTTATTGCCCTCTCCTCAGTTAAGAGGGTACAGGCCAGGGTCGGGACAGGCTGTGGATGCCTGTGCCTATGGGGAGTTGCCCCAAGCCACCTACTCTAATCCTCCTTGCCTTTGTACCAGCCACCCCTCACCCCCAGTTTGGAGGGTCTACACTGTCCTGTAATAAGGAACATGCCAGGGCTGGTGCCAGCAGTGCTATAAGGAGCCCGCCACTCTTCCCCTACAGTATCCTCACCCTTCTGCATCAGTCAAGGGAAAGTACTAGGGCCCCTTGAAAGGGACAGAAAGGAAGAGCAAAAACAAAAGGAATACTGTACTTAAAATGTGAAGATTTGTAAACAGTCTAGTCCATGATGACGTTGGGGCAGAGTCTGATTTCTATACAGAAACAACTCTTTTCTTTTAATTCGTTGTTGTGCAAGCTCTGTGCTTCTACCATGGAAAATGGCTTGGGGATGGTGCTCCCCAGCATAGAAAGACTGTTGTTATTTGTTTGATTTCAATAAAATTATTTGTAAATCCTGTAAAAAAAAATAAATAAAGTTACATTCTCTGATAGGTGGCCTGTCCTGGAAATTAGCAAACTGTAAGTGCTTAATAAATAGGAAAGTTGGTATGTCTTGGGTCTTGCTATTCCTATTTGGTTGCAGAATTTCTCAGGGTCTATAAAGTTGTCTCTGCTTGATTTGCAGAATAATAAACGTGGTGAAGCCCACATTCAAGTAACTTTAGGATATCCTTTTAGGCTTTCAACCCACAGAACCCAGAGACCCTGGACTATCTTCTAAGTGTTTGGAATGCTGTCTTCTACTCCCATTTCCCATTTTCATCTAGCTAATGAGGTCCACTCAGTTTTAAATCAGCACAAGTTTCACATCTTCTTTGAAGCTATTTCTGGTCCTGGAATTCAATTTTGCCCCCATATCATGTACCCTGTACATCCAGTGGTCACTGTGCCTATCACACTTGTGTGTATTCATGTACTAGTCTGTCTTCTCAAAGCTTTTAAGGACAGGAAATGAATCTTCCTTATCTTTGTCTCCACAGTGCCCAGCATGTAGCCTGATGTTGCATTGATACTGCAAGATTATGTTTTGATTACATTTTATTCCATCCAGTATTCAGCTACTTTGTTTTACTGTGCAGAGAAGATTTTCCAAGCACTTCCTTTATGTTGTACTGTACTTTGCAGTAGAATACATTTCCTGGTCTGAAGAAGCTCAATCCAGTGAGAGTACAGGCAAAACCAGAGATAGCACAGGTGATTGATGTGGTGACAGAGGAATAAGCTGGAAGTTAAGAGAACAGAGAAGAGATACCTGATTCAGTTAGGTTCACAGCACATGATGCCCAAGTGGCCTAGTCAAGTGAGGAAGAAAAGCAAACACATTCTAGGCAGGAGGCGTAATAGCAGCCAAGGCAGGGAACAGCACTGTGGTTCAGGGAATCTACATCACTGGATAGTGTGAACCGGAGTAGTATTGCCCAAACAGAAGGACTTGTACCACTGGAGATGTGCAAGATAATTTTATGTATTTTTATGTGTACTGGAAAAATGTAACAAGCATATGCCAAACTCTCATGGCTAAAATTGAGATGAGTTGGTTAAATACTTATTAGGTGCTCACCACAGGCACTATTTTAAGTTTTTTTTTAAAAAGTATTTTAATTTAATCCCTTATGCAGTACTTATCTCTATGTTGTATGTGTGTGTGTGTGTGTGTGTGTGCATGCACATGCATACACATGTGCACAGACGTGTGTTTACTAGATAAGAAAAGTGAAGCATGGGGAAGTTGAGCAACTTTTTCCAGGCTGAACAGCTAGTAAAAGGGTAGAGCCAGGATTTGAACCCCAATAATATTTTTCTCTTTGAAACAGGGTTTTTAAAGGCAGTTCAGGCTGGCCTTGAACTCACTTTGTAACCTAGGCTGGCCTTGAACTTACAGCAGTCCTCCTGCCTCAGCCTCCTGAGTGCTGGGATTATAGGTGTGCACCACTACACTGTCTCTCTCTCTCTCTCTCTCTCTCTCTCTCTCTCTCTCTCTCCCACCATGCCAGCTAGCATCATGTCTTTTAATTCTTGTGATAACCCTTCAAGGTGGCTAATAGGGTATGTTGTGTAGCTAGAAGGGCATCAAGTTCATACAGGAATACAAATAGAAATGAGATTGATTCTTAGTGCAGGGTTCAGAAAGGGACTTGAAGAAGGCCAAACTTGAAGAACTCCCCCATGTCCAACATAACTTTCTGACCTTTCCTCTGTTCATTACCAGAACATGCCTATTTACATGTGTATCTCTCACTAGTCCTTGAGAAAAGGGATTACTTCTGACTTGTTTCGTTCTGTCAAGCATGCAGCATGAGGTATATAGTAATTCATGTATTTCCCCTATCCATTGAGCATATACTCTGAACCAGGTTCTTTTTTTTGAGAAACTGGGGATTGAACTCAGGCCCTTGTGCTTGCCAGGGAAGTGCTATTCCACTGAGCCATCTCCCCGGCCCCTGAACCAGGTTCTATTATTATACTCAGGATATTATTAATGGTGAAAAAAATGGAACTGCAATTCTTACTGTCATAGGGAAATGAATATCAAATAATTATCTTGGTTATTCTTTTCTCATTACTGAGATAAATACCCAACAGTCAAAATTAAGGAAGGAAAGGTGTATTTAACTCACAGATATTGGAGGTTTCAGTCCAAACTCAGCTGGCTCCAAGTCAGAGCAGCAACTGGCAAAGAGCAACCTTTCATGGTGGTGGCAAAGAGCAGAGAGCAAAAGGGAGGAGTAGCAGCAACAATGGCAACAGAGAGCAAGTCTGTCTCTCTTATGTTGCGTTCAGGCTGTCTGCCCCAGGCTGGATACAGCACTCACAAGCATAAATCCAGCAGCACTCATACCCATAAACCCAGTGGATCATGAGTTAATCACAAAATCTAGAAGTCCATCCCATGACTGCATGAGGTTTGGGGGGACAACTAGACACAAACCATAACACTAACTAACTATACAAAGAACTGTATAATTAACAGTTGTACAAATGGATGAATCCTATGGTAGATGAATCTCAATCAGGTGGTTAATTGTGATGAATTCTGTTTGAGTTAGTCATATTGGATAAAATTCTAAATCAAACTAGTTTTACAAAAAGTGGAAGTTATTAGCTCATGTAACTGGAAGCATCATTAGACCCATGACTTCCCAGGTTGACATAGCCCCTCAGCCTCCTTCTATAGACAGACCCTCTGCTTGGGCATGAATAAGGGCAGCTCCAGATTTATCTTTTGCCAGCTCCTACAAAAGGAGATCTGTTGGCCATTATATGTCAGTCTCAGGGAAGACTATGATTGGTTACCCATAAATCATATGTTTATCCCCATTACTGGAGGAGGCAAGTATTATAGTGTAGAGTTCTATAATAGCTGCTTGGAATACTTACATTACAGAGGAAGAAATTGTGGGAAGGTAAAAGTAGTATAAGTCTACCATGTGTACTATGAATAAAGTGAAAAAGAGAAGCCTAATTTTAGTCTGGAAAGCCAGTCTGTTCTGAGAAAGTCACACTTAAGCTGAGAACTAAAGGATGAGAAAAGTTTGGCAAGGAGTAGGAGTAAAGAGCGAATCGCCTGAATAATGTGAGTTAATGCTTGAAACATTCGTGAGATTAAAAGAAGGCCATGTCAGAGAATAACCAATCAAGAGTAGTGCAAGATGAAGGCAGAGAGGTAGGGTAGGCAACTGTGCCAATTCTCAGTCTGTTTGCCCTCATTCTTAATCCTTCTCTTGCTCTGTCTTCCTCCTGTAATATCCTTGGGGGAGCTGGCCCTTTGCAGACTGGCTTTTTCAGGCTCTCATGCTCATGGCTTCTGGTTGAGATTATTCAATGGGAAATAGGCCATTAGAGATGGGGAAGAAAGAAAAGTCTGAGTATCCTCCACCTTGGCTGACTTTTCTTCTGTGAGACAGCTACTCTTCTATGACTTTTTCCCTTGGTTCCAGCTTCCTTTGCCCCTCATAATAGTATCTTTTAAATTTTTATTTATTTATTTATTTGCTGGTAATGATCTCTTGGTTTTCTCACTATTCTACTTGGCTTCTCAAATCTTTCATCACTTATTTAGCCAATTTCCTCTGGTTTAAGCACTAAGAATGAAGTCCCATGGGAGTACAGGATATATTCTGAATGGTGGATAGAGGGTAGGGACAAGAAAGGGAAAGCTCTCTGGAATCACAAATTCATAGGCGAGTAATGAAATTCATTGAGAGTAGGAGCTAAAGCACTGGTGGTAAACATATGGCATGCATGTATGAGTTGTTTTCTACACTAAAACCTCTGTGTTCAGATTTAATTACAGTGTTAGCACTTTGTGATGAATAAGTGGGGTTTGGGTTGCATTTTGGGCACTCATCTCTGAAAGGTTCACCATCACTGAGCTAGAGAGTAATAGTGTCAGCAAAGACACAAAATGAGAAAGCCTTGCTGTTTCTGGAGCATAGTATGAGCAAGGATGATAAAGCCAAGGCTGGGCCAGGAGGATTGCTATGATTGGGAGGTGGTTTGCATGTGCTCTGAAGACACATTGTGATTGAAGACTTTGTTCCCAGGGTGACAGTGTGGGGAGGAGACAGGCCCTTGGAGGTAGAGCTCTGTGAGAAGTCCTTTGGGTCACTGGACATTGCTCTTGGAAGGCAGTTAATGGGACCCCTTGCCTTCTCTTGAAAGGGTTTTCATGAAAGTAGAAAGTTCGGCTTCCCAATTCACTGCTTTTTAGCTCAAGCTAGATAATCTTGCTGCCGCACAGTCCTGCTGTTGCTATTGGCCATGAGATGGTGCGGCTAAGGGGTAGCCCTACCATATAGCCTCTATGTCCTTTGGACTTTCATTCTTCTAAACTGTGAACCAAATAAAACTCTTTTACCAGTACCCTGTGTCTGATATTATGCTATAGTAATACAAATCTAACTAGCTGGGGGGATGGCTCAATGGCATAAGCGCCTGCCTTGCAAGCATAAGGTCCTGAGTTTGATCCCCAGTACTACAAAAAAATAAACATATAAAAACAAAAATGTAACTGATACAGGGTATTTGGTTTTAAGCTAATGAGACTGATTTGAAATTAATCAGACATGATTCAGTCCTAATGACACAAATCCAAGTCAAGACAGCTTAAGTGATAAGTCAACATGTAGTTGAAACAAAATGCAAGACACAGTCACTGGAGAAATTAATAGGGCAATGTGTTGGATGAATTGTTCACATGATACTCAAAGTACCTGAGAATGAGCC